TCCCAGCCATGTATTCCCTCTCTCCTCTTTCAGCAAGTTTGGCGATGATACTGCTGTACCAACCTCTCTAGAAGCAAAGGAAACTCCTTCCTTTGCTTTTTTTCCCCTCAGCTTTTTCTTGGTGGCTGTTTCCCACTGCTGATGAGGGCCAATCCAGTTCATCTGCAGTTGCACAGTAAAGAGACCTGAAGAAGCAGGCAGCTGGCACAGGAGCTAGAAGCACACAGCATTAGATCAGATATAGAAGAAAAAAAAAAACACTTTTTCCTCATTTCTCTTGCTTCCCCAAATCTGCCAGACTGACAGTTGAGTCACAGGGAAAGAGGAAAAGATTTTTCATCAAGTTATTTAAAACTTGGGTTTAGTTAACACTCATTCAGCACAGAGCTGAAGACACACTTGAGAAAGAAATACATTTTTAACTTCAGAGTGCAAACTTTTCCACTTAATATGCAAGAAAGCTGTCAAGACATGTCGTTCTCAAAAAATAAAAATAAAAAAACTTTTTTTTTTTTTGTAGTACTTTACAAATGTCAAGAAAGCAATAAAATCCACTGCTTGAGACTTTGTCTTGTCCCTCGCTTTGCAGGGCTCTTTTAACATCCCCCAATTCTGGATCATGCCCTCACCTTTTGATAAAGCTAGTATTTGTTACCCAAAAGGCACTACTCAAGCAAAGAAAAAAAACATGGTTTTAGAACGGTTTCGCCTCTTTCTACTCAGAATAAAGTTTTTATTCACCACAATAAACTATAAAGAGATTACAACAACAAAGATTTCAGCAAAACACAAGAACTGGAAAGAGGTACACTTAAGGACACAAAACGATGACACATTTTCACAAACAAGGATGGCAATTGCATGGAGGTTTTCTGTATGTTTTATTTAAATGGATATTACTTTAAATCACAACAGATTAGAAGTACATCTCGTTTTAGCAAGAAATCAGAATTTTTTTTTAATGCAATAGTATAAGCTCAAGCATTACTGTGTTCCTGTTCATAGACTCAACCTACACAATTGAGCAGGGCAAACTTGTATGAGGGCATATTTTTTCCAGCTTTTCCTAAGCCTCTTCCATTTGGAGTAAGCCAAAATAATTCTGCAATAAACCAAAGTTCCTTGGGGCCTTCCCCTTCCCCCCCCCCCCCCCCCCCCAGTTCACTCTAGCTAAATTCCAAAAGAGCAGCTTAATTCTAAAGGCATACTTTGATCAAGTTGAATGCATCCTTACAGACACCTGAGCTAGCTGAGTGGGAGTACTCAGATCAAAAGGGTCAAAGGGTTTTTCTTTTATAGAAAGAGCATGACAGAAGGTGCTGAACATTTTTGACTGTTGGAAAAAATAAAGTCAACAGGTCTTATAGATGCTTTTCCTGATGAGGGGGAAAAGATGAAAAACATCAAAGAACCCACTGCACAATTATTCATGAATTCCCCTAAGGAATGCAAACAGCACTCAGCCACCTCTCCCTTCCTGCAGTCAACATGAATCCTCATCAGCAGGAGCGAAGTGAGAAAACCATGCAGGCTCAGTCCTCCTGCCTGGCAGTCACAGCCCAGCTCACTGCTGACAAGAGACAGGGAAGGCTTGCCAGCACCGCCTGGATCAGGGAATGACAAATCCTATGTAAATTATTTCCTGCCTCCACTCAGCAAAGCAATAGGTCCTTTCCAATGGGCTGCAAGAGAGTCAGAAAAATGAAAAAGTTCCCTAAGCTTGATAAGCCCCTTTGTAACTAAAACTAATAAGGGGCAGAGAGTTAAGTGGACACATCCTCCTTTGTAGGAATTCTGGTACTGCCCTTTGGTATTACAGGCAAAGGATGGAACTTTTCTTCTCACCACTCACGGATGCAAAGCCCTGAGTAGCTAAACTTCAGCACTCCAACAACAGGACAACATCAGGGGGCTTTCACAGAGAGAAACATTGTAGAGATAACCTGGGAGTGCACACACACTCCTGCAACATAAAGGAAAATGCCAACAGTCAGCTGCTAAAACAGCATCAGAACCTGGAGTGCTGTTGTGAAAGGATGCTCACAACTCCTTGAGCCCTACCTATTCCTGCTACCATCAGAAGCTGGTGCACTTTTGCTCTTTTTCTTTAAGATTTGCATTCTTAGTCATTTACTGTGCTTGTTCCCTCACTGGTGGGCAGAGATTCTAGCTTAACTTTATATGCTAGAATCTGCCCCATTGAACTCCATTTACAAAGATAATAAAGAGACAGTGCTTACCCAGTTGGGAAGAAACTAACCAACTTTGCTTTTATTTAAATAAATCTTGCATGACAGACTGTCAGAAGTGTTTGAATTTTATTTAAAGCATTTTGCTGTTCACGTTACATCCATTCCTCATTCAAAAAATAAAACAAAAACCAACCTTGACTCTTTTGCAGCATCTTCCATCTGGTAAACTAACAAGAAGACAACTACACTGATCATACTTTTTCCCAGCCAACCAATTAACAATACTTCTATCAGCATACATGTAGTAATTGCTAATAAGGAGAAACTGTGCACCAAAATCCCACTTCCAGTATTTCCAGAAGAGGTCATCTAAATGTTGTATTGCCACATTTAAATTTCTCCAGCAGACATTATATACCATTTACAACAGCTTCTATGGGTATTTCTTCAGGTAGAGCACTAAAAAGCTTGACTAAAAATAAAAACTGACTTAATAAAAAAAGTTCAGGCTTTTACCAGTTCCTAGGCCACTTTGGATGCAACAGCCAACCAGAAGCTTATGCACTTAAAGTTACATGACAGCTTTGTGAAGCAAGGCTACCCAGCAAGCCACCATCAGGGCTGTTCTTGGCACAACTACCTCCCCATCCTTGATTACCACCGTGCTATGTGCAGTGTCCTGGTGAAGGCTGAGACTTGTGCAGCTCAGTTCTGCACTTCCATCCATGAGTTCAGCATCAGACACCCACTCGCAGCTGGCAGGAGAGAAAAAGGCAGCATCCTGACGAACAACTCAGCAGGAGATACTGCTGTGCACACATGGAGGCTGATAACAACCTCATTGAATCATACAGGCAGAGGCTATTTTTTTGTTTCCTATCCAAAAGGCAGTGCTACCCATTAAAGCCAAATGTGTACAAGCCTTGAGATGTCTGAAGAAATAAAAGCAGAAAATCTTGTTATACAGCCCAGACTGCCAAACTGACATACTTTAAGGCACTCCTCAAATTATTCCAAAGAACTGAGAGCCATGGACTCGTACAGAACTGAGACAAACGCAGTCCTGCCAGGGCAACCATGAGCTGCACCAGAGAGCAGGACTACCAGCTGAATACGTATCCTGGTAAACACTGAATGCACAACATTCCACCAGAACCCCAGACTCCTGGTGAAAAAGGGTGTTCCGGGCAACTCTACTTATAACACACTGCTACCTCCAGGTAGCTTGAAACAGTTTGCAGAAGAAAGATGGATGAATACTTAGCAGCATTCATTCTCTCCAGCAAGAGCCAAAAATACCTATCAAGCAATCCATCTTTAAAAGTTCCTTGATTCAGCTCACATGTTCAGTAAGTCAGCAACTAAACTGTAAGCAAAGCTTATGGCATCTACAGCTTCTCTCTCCTAACAGCATGTCTTCTCATCTTCTCAGCATCAATACTCAGGTTAGAAAAGCAAGGGTTTTCTTTATTGTGGGGTTGGGAAAGAAAAAAAAGTGCTGTAAAAGACAAAGGTAGAAAATTCTTGTTAAAACTCTGAATTAATCACTCTTTACTACCAGTACAGCCCTCCAAGTGGTCCTGTAATCAGTATATTCCAAGCTCTCAAAGGATCAGGAACCAGGAATTCCTTATGTGTAAATCCTGCTCCAACAAGAACTGCCTCAGTGCAATAACGCAGCAGCTGATGCAGGCTCCCCAGCCCGTCTTTCCCATTTTCTCTCCTTTCACAGACTTCACAGCACACAAGACATGATTCCCCAGAGCAGTGCATCACAGCTACCTAATGACCGGGCTCAGCCTGGAAGTCACAGGGAAGCACTCCACATTCCTGAGCCTGCATGTGTCTTCATCAGTGAACACACATCCAACTGGAGCTCACTCTCTTTACTGGTATAAGAAGAACTCCTGGTTCAGAAAACGTATGGACAGAAAGAGCATCTTCACCTTACAACAAGCATTTTAAGTCCCTTAATGAGGAGAACTTCAACTACCAGTAAACTACTGCGAACTGCTTCAAATGGCTATGCATCTTCCTCCCCAACTATCTGTACGATAATCAAAGCCTTCTGCAAAACGTTCAGTTAAAAGCATACATCTCAGCTCATGCTGCATTAAATATTAACTAAGACCACGTGGAAGCCGCAAATGGATTTGAAAAAAAAAACAACAAACAGCAATGCAATTTCAGTTAACAGCCAGTATGGAAGTGAGCACAGAGTGAGGCAGAAGTTTCAAATGCCAGACACCCCTGGGAACAGCCAAATGTCTCTGATCAGTTATCTGAACTCGCAGTGCTCAGTTTCTGGGTGTTCTTGTCCTGCAGAACACAACTTCAACCATTTTAAGTCATAATTTCTTACTTACATCTTATCTAAAAGCCTACCTTAAGCTTCCGAAAATAGACACATAACACTAATCCACAAACACAGACGGCAAAACAAACATTCTAAATTAAAAGAAGAAAAAAAACTCAAAACACACCACCACAAAAGACTCCATTAAAATCAGAATTAAAAACTCGAGTAACCAGGCTCCACGCAAAGAGGACCGCAAAGCTCAATGCTGGCACTGACGACCACAGAGCAGCTCGGTAGCCGGCCGCGCACTTCCCCTTTGGACGCCCGCAGCTCATCTCCAAGGGTCCAGAGCCCTCAGGTCACGGCCCGACCCCCGGCCCCGCGGGCTCATCGAGGGCTGCCGGCGCCTCCCGCCTCGGCCTCCAGCCCCGCGCCGGGAACAGGCGCGCGATGCCTCCTTCGTGCCCGCCGCACCGCGCCCCGGCAGCCGCGGGGTCTCGGAGCCTCACCTCCCATAGCAGCGACAGCAGCAACGCGGCTCCGGGCTGCAGGCGCCTCATCTCGCCTCGTCCTCGCCACCCCCGCCGCCTCAGACGCGTACGGGCGCGGTCAACGGCGCCATGCCCGCCGCCGGGGAGGACGCAGCCGGCGGCTCAGGAACACGAGCACCGCGCGGAAGGACAGCAAGCCGAACGGCCGGCACAGGGGCAGGGCCGGCAAGCCCTGGGACCGGCAGGGCAGGAAACGGGGAAGCCCCGCAGCAGAACACGGGCAGGGGCGGGCCGACCCGCGCCTCCACCCAGAGGCGGCTCCCGGCCGCGGTCGAAGCCTGGCAGGCAGCGCCTGTGGAGAAGCGAGGCGGCAAACGGCGTGCTGACCGGCCGGCGGTACAAAGAGGGCCGGCGTCGCCGCGGCGGCTAAGGGCGGGGAGAGGCGGTGCCCGTCACGGCGCCGCCCCGCTGTCCGGCTGCTCGACCCTATCTCTGCCGTGGGCGGATGGGCCGTGGGGTTACGACGATGGAGTCTGTGAAGCACATAACAGCGACGCACTTCTCGGAGGAGATCAGCCCCTGCACAGGTGGAGGCTGTGTCCTGCGTGTTAGCGAGAGCGGCTGGGGGCTGCGGTCACTGAACAACAGAATCACAGAATGCCAGGGTTGGAAGGGACCTCAAGGATCATGAATCTCCAACCCCCTCCCACATGCAGGGCCATCAACCTCCACATTTAATACCAGCCCAGGCTACCCAGCTCCCCATCCAACCTGGCCTTGAACACCTGCAGGGATGGACAGGGCATCCACAGCCTCTTTGGGCAGCCTGTTCCAGCACCTCACCACTCTCTCTGTGAAGAACTTCCCCCTGGCATCCAACCAGGCAGAGTAGAGAGGGACGATCACCTCCCTGTCCCTGCTGCCACTCCTCTTCTGATGGTTGCTGCCATGATGTGAGTGGTGTGGTGGGGACTGGGCAGAACAGGGGAAGGCAGCTCCTGGAATTCAAGTATTGGGAGGCCAGAAATGCACAGCCGCACACAGGGGCCCTGAGGAAGAGTAGGAGGAAGGGGGCTATGCCAACTTATGGACAGGGAACAGGATCTACGTGAATGGGCTTTGCACCCACATGATTATGGAATGTGCCTTTGGCTCATCGGAGAGGCTATGTCCCCATCGTCATCTTTCATGTACTCAATTAGTTACCAACAGCCCTGGCCACCTTCTCAAGAAAATCTCAGGAACTGCCTTGAGTACTGTCAGGTGCACTGAGCCCCGTAATACACGGCCAGTGTAGTTATGTCATGGATGTTTATTTCACGGACAACTTGTTGAGGTGCTTGGAAGCTCCTTTCCCAAGCCCATTCCCACCCTTACCACAGCTAGTCCTGGCACTGCCTCAGGGATGAACAGCTGTTCTTCACATTTGAGTATCTTAGTGTTGCAGAAGAACTAGCATATCCCTTGGGAGGATATGAAAGGGTATGAAGAGGGACCTCCTGTTGCCATCTGAATAGCAGACCTTTACCAACAGCATTTCTGAAGGGAGGTCTTTTTGTGGGCTAGCTATACAGAGATGATTAGCATGTCCTTGCAAGGCACAGCTCCTTCATTCAGCACTTCCTCATCACAGACTTGAAGGAACTTGCCACCTCCTGATGCCAGGTGGCTCAGCAAAATATTATCAGGTGAGTATTTTTTTCTGTTTAGTCAACTTTCAGGCAGTTTGCAGAGGCTTCCAGCTGGCCCATGTTAATCATACATGGGTCACACCTATTTATTTCCATGGAAGTACAACAGATAAAGAGTACAATACCACTATTTGACAGAGGAAATTCTCTGCTTTTTTATTTATTTATTTATTTATTTTTCTAGCAGAATCACCACCATTAGCTATGCATTTTCAGCAGTGATGAACAAGAGCCTGCATGTTGTGCTCATAAAAATCCGCATGGCCATGTGCAACACGGATTGTCTTCCATGCCGCTGTTGCTACTGCTGAAATACACTGCCCACCACCTTGTTGTGTTCAAATCCACTGTTTGGTCTCCATAAAGTTCAGTAAGTGTCAATGAATGTCATTTTTTCCACATGAAGGAATTAAATTCCACACTTTTGTTTCAAAATGCAGTTCACAGAATCACGGAATCACAGAATTGTAGTTCCATGTCAGATGCTATATAGTCAGTCTGCCTCTCTGCTGCCATCTGTGACATGGCAACAAAATGCAACGGAACGTTGGTGGAAAGGTTCAACCTCAACTGCCCTACCACCATCTGCCTCTGATGTCGAGGGCCATCATAATAAAATAGTACACATAACTTTCCAGGCAGCCATCATACATCCTCTATACGCTGTATATAACAAGTGCCTGTAGACTAAGGACCTCCCACACACTGCATGACAATGTGCACTCACAGGCAGCCTGTGCACATTTTACCTAAATGACCACTGATTCTGATATTTCCATTGAGACATTTGTTTATCTCTACTTGATGCCATTCAGTCCAAACTGTGAGGTGCATTTTTCAGATGAATACATACATCTCAAACTGAATTTGCTAGAAGATATTTAAGAAGATATGACAGCCATCACTTTGCCCAACGATAAAGGCTTGGTGAAGTACCAAGTTTGAGTGGTACACACAAATCTCTATAACGTCTGATGAGTTGGAAAGTTCCACTTTATTTAACCTGTGCTATAAAGACACATTGTGTATCAGCTATCATCTAAGATAAGTCAGCTCACGTTGTCATAACCAACAAACACAAAGTTGGGAATCACTTCAAAAATGTTACCCTGCGTGGAAGTTTGATAAGGACATAAGCATCATTTATTTTCAGGTCTCTACCCTGACATACAGCTTTAACACTAACTCCCTTTCCACCCCTATTTTCTGTGTTTCGTGATCTAAGTAGCAGTCTTCTGGGGTCACACAGTACTTGATGATACCTCATGCAGAAACCAGCCTGATCCATCTAGAGGCACCAAATGAATCTGAACAGCTGTGCTGAATGTGAGTGCCCTGTGCTGATGCTGCTGGCACAAATTCTTGCAGGACTTCGGAAAAATGAAGGCGGGAAGTAAAGTTAGGAGAGGAATCTGGGATCTTGTCACTGTAGGCACTGTGGTCCCTAAAGGCCATCTCTGCCTGCACTTTCAGCTGATGGCCCCAAGTATGCTTAGGCAAGAGCCAGGTATCAGATACTTATCAGTTAATTATGAACACGTATAACCCTTCTGAGACCCAATAAAGCATTAATTAATTAATTAATTTTTTCATAGGAAAAGGATGGTTTCAGTTGAGGCAAAAAAGAAAGAAATGAAGACTGTTGGGTTTCTTTGTTTGTTTGTTTTGTTTTTTTTTTGTTTTGTTTTTCCCCAATGGGGAGATTAGTTACAGTGAGATAGAGGTAACAGAAAGGAGAAAGAGAAAGCTGGCTGGAAGCATGTTTTCCTGTGCATATATTATCCAGCTTAGATAAGGGCATGGATATCCTAACTACAGAATTCTTTCTAGGCCAAGAGATAAACTGAAACAAGAAAAGCACCTCATGGTTTCAAATTTCATTTTGGCCACATCTCTGCTCCCTTAAGTGATGTCTTCTCTCATTTCTGCCTAAATTCAGGGGACCATCTTCATCTCTGAGGAAAGACCATTAGCTTTACTGGAGTTAGAGTACAATAGGACTTAGCCCAGCGTGTGACATTCCTCAGCTCAAGTGCAAGTTGTAGCAGAACCCCTTGGAGTTCATGTAGGCTCTAACAAACACTTTCCATCTGCCATGGACAGCTAGACAGCAAAGAAGAGAGGGTCCACACTGCGTTGTTTTGATGGAACAGGAAAATGAGATAAGGTTTTTATTGGAGGCCAGGTTTCTGGGTGAAAAAAAGCCCCTCATTCCCAGTCTGATTTTAGCCTTTCTTCTGGTATGCTGTTCAGATAGTAATACACCTAAGTGCCCAGGAGCGAATGCATGGAAATAAGTAATCTAAATCCATGATCAGCAACATTAATGAAGCTTTATTCTATCTCATCAAGGCTTACACTCCTTTTCTTCATGGATTCTTATGCATTCCTTAAAAGTACTGCAATCCTTTGTTCAGTGGATGTACCAATAGTAACGTATTTCTTTTATTCAGCCATTTCTATTCCTGAAACTTGAAAGAATATGTTATTTTTGAGACTGCCATTTCTCTACCAATTCTTTTTCTAGTGGAGTAACAGATGTTGATGAACTTAGAACACATCAGTATGAAGATATTTTCTAGGTCTTATTTATTCTGAAACCAGACAGGTGAATATTTTTGCAGTGTACAATGCTTCTAAACTGCTTTTTATTGAGTATTTTCTTGTTCATGTTGGGACAGTTGTTCCTAATACTGCTGAGAAGCATTTGATTCCACAAGAGCTGCGAGTGAAGCAGGTAACAACTTTATATAAACAAATACTTTATATAAACATACTTTATACATATATAAACATACTTTATATAAACAAATACAATTTACTTCTTGTTTACTTCTTCACATGAATCGTAAACAACTATGATTTTGAATTTATTTTATTATTTACTGCTATTACTTCCTTCACATGTGCTATTAGAATTTGTCAAATTATGTTTGTTCTCCAAACTGTGATTTAAATGTAAGACAACATGCAATATATTTTGAGATTCCCCTTTGTAATTACTTAAATGGAAATAGCCTTTATCAGTACCACTTTTCAGCAAAAGAAAGCCCCTTTGAATTGTACAAAATATGTATAAGTATCTTCTTAAATTCTCACTGTTCTCTTTTGAGAAATCACATTAGCATTATTCATTTAAAAAGATAGAAAAATATTGTATTCACAAATACAGTAGCCCACCAATGCAAACACGCTTGTTTTTGCAGCTTCTGTATCTTGTTCAAAGCACATTTTTTTTAATATCCTATGCATCTCATAAGATGTGAGCCATTTCCTGAAAAAAATGTGCCTTTTCTTTTTTCTAACTGTCTGGCAGAGGGAGAAGTTTACATAAAGATGTGGTCTCTTGGTAGAATAATAGTTAAATTTAAATTAGAATCCAACTTCCCAGAATAAAGGCTTCTTTTTCTGTCACTACTTTCACCAATATCTATCCATCAAAAATTACTTCAAATAGAACGTTAGA